TTTCAACTTAAACAAACAATTACCTGTGATTGTGGTGGTTCTTGTGTCATCGGCTGTTCCTGTTCGTACATAGACACAACGATAGGAGGTTTATGCCCAATGCCTCTAATTTGTCCGCGTCGAACACCCAATATTTTTTCAAAACATTTTCTTGTATCACTAGGCGTTAGACCACTTGCTGAAGAAGAAGCTTGAGTTTGTTGATTGATCTCCTGAAGTAAAGCATTCTGTATTTTCAAAAAATGATAAACATCATAAAAATTAGATTACTAAATACCCTTGACGATCTATTTAACATAAAACATTAGATTAATTATACTTTAAATAAACATTTAAATATATCATAACTTGCTTCTTTGAAGCATGCATTACTGTACGAGCTCGACCCCCCTCTGTTTACAACTAGTTGTTTTGCACGGACTTCTTTGTTTGATGTCGAACGCCTTAAAAATTCGGGCGATTGAAAATGTTCAACTGCCTTCGCCCAATTTTCTGGTGACATACCACTGGGGGGGGGGGGGTTGTTTAGTGCCATTGGGATATCTGCAGGCCCCCCCGATTTCCTTAAAATAAGAATGAGCTTTACTTTTTCGGCCTCTGTACACTTTTGCAAGACTCGAATCAATGCTCCGCAACAATTGTGCACGCTTCGGATCCAAGTTAACCTTATCCAAATCAAACTTATTCTAAAAATACAAAAAAGTTAGTTAATTAAATAACAATCACAACTACACTTAAAATATTAGCCAAGTTACCTTTAAATGCACAACTGTTGCATTTCTTAACGCAGGGGAAACATTGTCCCAACCAGATACGTTGAAAGGGACGTTGTTCCACAAATACCTCCCAATTTCATGTGTCAACCAATTGGCAGGCTTCCCGACAGGGGAATATGTGATCTCCCTGTCGAAATCCAAATCCACGGGCTTTCCCTTGTTTGCCCGTATCCACTTTCCGAGCTCTATGTTCTTTGACAAGCCCCTTCTTTTCTTTGGAAGCTCGACTGAAAAAATACAATTAAAAACATTAGTCACGATAACTTATAATAAATTAATGAAAATAGCTAATAAATATATCATAATAAAACTTACCATCATGTTCATGCTGCCCGCGACCAAAGCCTCCTGGAGGTGGTGGATCCCCAGCTCCATCACCTCCGTGACCAAGGCCCATAACATCGGCCATCATAACAAAGAATATCGCCCACGTAAACCTCATTTGTAGCCTGTAAAATTACAAGATGTACAATAGAAATACAATATGAATAAAAGTTATTTACCCTGCAAAATTATAAAATATGCAATATAGACAAACAACATAAATAAAAGTTAATTTAATATTTTCTTTTTTTGGATTTTTTTAAAATTAATTTAACTTAATTTTATTTTCTAATTAATTTAATATTTTCTTTTTTGTTATTAGTTTAATTTTTTAAACTAATTTTATTTTATTTTAATATTAATATTAACTTGATTTTAAAACTAATTTAATTTGATTTTACAATTAATTTATTATTCTTTTATTGATTTTTTTTAAAATTAATTTAATTTTTTTCTATAATTTAATTAAAATTACTAGAAGTATGTTGCTATTAATAACCTAATTAAGCTAAAGTTGTAACGACCAACATTAAGTCACTAACAAAATTAAGCACTTTGAAACCATATTAACTAGAAAATAAAGACATAGTAAACATCTAATACAATCATACATGTAAATACAAGCACTTCAACTTATCAAACACTTTAACTTCACAATTAAAAACTTTATCACTTCATCTTATATACACCAAACTATTAATCCTAAATATCACATAATCATACATGTATACATTACATTCAATTCCAATTTTCATTTCATTTTAGACATACAATACAACTTTCATATTTCAATTTCATACAATAAAACATACAATACATCAAACAAATGTATACATCAAATCTCAATTTCATGCCTAATTTCAAATTCAAGCCAATACATCACATTGAACATAAACATAAATCTGAAAAACATATACACAATGTTGTATAAATCTGAAAAAACCTATATAATCACTCAAAATGCATAAACAATTTCATACCTCATTTCATACCACAAAATACATATATAATCACTCAACCAAACAAAATCTGAGAATTATACTACACATTCATCACCCAAAATACCATGAAAACAGAAGATTAATAGAAAATAAGAAGGAACTCGACCTGAATGGTTTGGTCGCCAGTAATAAGGGTGCACGTCGCCGGTAATGGCGGTCAATCGACGGTGATAGCTGTCAATCGGCAATGATGACGGTCAAATCGGCGATGATGGAAGTCTCCCGGCAAGAATCGACGGCAGGGTGTTGGATAGGTGCTTGATGCGTCGAAGGAACTGAGTCGGGTGGAAAGTTTCACAGAAGACACGATACACAGAAAGAAAGCTGAACTGGGGTTTATCTGTGATGACCTTTAGCGGCGACGGGCATTAGTGGCGACACCTTGGAGGGAAAAAACAACGCCTTTTTTTCGTTCCGTCACAACCCTAGGATCGAAAACAAATCGGACGGATGAGGCTCGTTTCACGCGAATCGCCATTATGAGACCACTACCGGCGACGCTTTTCGTGGCGACGCATTTCGCGGCGATGAATGGTATTAGCGGCTAATGTCACGCGTCGCCGCTAAAAGCGTCGCCGCTAATACCAACATTTCTTGTAGTGTGTTATAGAAGAAAAAATAGAACTGGAAAATATAGGAATCGTGGGTTTCCGTGGCTACCTAATGAATAGGGCTGAGTGGTTTCTATGAACTTCAGAAAAAGAATTTAGCAATCGATTTACAAGATGAGTGAAATTACCATAAAAATCAAATCTAGAATTTAAAACTCAATTTTTTATACTTGTTTTCTTTGCCGGAACCTTAAACTCTATTTCCCCCTTCTCAATAGACATTTGTATGAAGATTATTAGTAGCCAAATTAGGGATTTACCGAGAAAAAGAGACAGAACAACAGCAAGCTCTTTGTACATGAGAATATAAATCTACATTTAAAAGTTATAAACTTTATAGTTCCATAAACTCTTCATGGATTTAAAAATGTGCTTCAAAAGAACAAGTCTACATGAACCCCTTTTAGGCTCTTGCCTGTAGTAAAGCATCCGGGCGAGAAGATGCATTTGCATGAAAAGGATGTATGGAATATAAGTCTGGGTACAACCACCATCCACATATTTGTCATACTAATTTTCAAAGAAGGTGTAGGCTCGGCTCGACAAATCGGTGACCAAATGCCGATGAGAGAGAAAAGAGTTTCCAATTGAAAATTTATATTAAAGGTCCCTATGAATTCTCTTTTGCTTCGGTTTATATCCAAAACTCAACTTGGAAATACTATATTAACCCTTCAACTTTATAAAAATTGTCATTTTGACTTATTCCATTTCATATTTAATAATATTTATTAATTCAATATTAATTCAAGTAAACTAATTCTATGTAAGTTAATTGTTATTAATATTCTTTGTGTCCTCATTTTAAATTATATGATGTTTTTACTAGGGGTGAGCATGGTGCAGTTTAGTGCGGTTTTTGGCCAAAACTGAACCGAAAACCGCAACTTCGGTTTTTTTAAGTTTAGAAACTGCACCGTTCGGTTTTTATGCGGTTCGGTTTTAGCGATTTTTTTCGGTTTTTTGCGGTTCGTTTTTTTTTTGCGGTTTTTTTTTGTTTTTGTTTTGCCTTTTTGCTAAACCTCAGATAATTCAGCGAGTTATTTTGACTCGGATGAGGAGTGCTAATCATTTCTTGGAGATGAACTTATACCAGCACCTATTGGTTTGAAATCAAATTACATAACCACTCATCCAACATGTTTTTAATGCTTGAATATAATATGAATTAAATATAATATTTGTTTCACATGTAAATACCATAATATCAATTAATGTATTCATAAAAATGATACTATAATCACTAGTAGTACTCTTTATATTTAAATGTTAAAAAATATCATAAACATTATTTATTATTGTAATATCACTGAATGTATGCTTAAAAATATACAATCATCCTCTGATAGATAAGATATAAATTTATATTTATAGAAATTTTAATTGTTATGAGTTCTTGGTTCTTACAAATATCAACACTTATATATATATGCGGTGCGGTTCGGTTTTTTGCAGTTTTTGCAAGACTAGAAACCGTACTGCAGCGAGCATTTTAGGTTTTTGCAAAACTAAAAGCCGCACCATCGGTTTTCGTTTCGGTTTCGGCTTATGTGGTTTTTTCGGTTTGCGGTTCGGTTTTTGCTCACCCCTAGTTTTTACTTGTTGTAATTTTATTTTTCTAACTTTTTTTTTTGTGTTTATTTTCTGGATGTGTGTTGTATTTTCGTTGAATTTTAATGAAGTTGTAGTTTTATATTAAGTTGGTTAAATTGATTATTTTTAATATAAATTAATATAAAAAAAGATGACAACCCACAAAATAAAAATGACAATTGTGACAAATAATGTGTCGAATATAATGTGACCATGATATGGACCGTAACAAACATGACACCATACTCACCAACCTAATATAAATCCAAATTCAAAGTGATATCGTGTATCGAAACCTAGTCTAATGTAGAGTTATCACAAAATGTGATGTTTCTTCAAAATCTAGATCAATAATATTGCTACTTATATAGGTTATATAGGTGGTCAAATTAATAATCATCAATAACAAATCGAAATCCAAATTGATATCGTGTTTTTAGCTTCCTTTGGAAGTATGCGAGGAAGCTTCGTTGTCAGATTTGCTTTCCGCAGTCCATGTCAGATTTGCTTGGTCGGTCCTTTCTGCATTCCATGTCAGATTTGCTTTCCCATGACATCCTACGGGAAGCTTCGGTGAGCCCTACTATACTGACCCTTGTACTACGTAGTACTATACACTCACTTCTATTTAACGAAGAAAGTTGATGTATTAGTCCTCAACTAAACCAAAATTTCGATTAGCAGTCTAGAAGAACATGATAATGAAGGATGTGACTCAGTTAGGGTCTGTAATGGCCGGTTTTATGTTCATGTGGGCAATATTCCAGCAATGGTTTCCAGAAGAGCTTGGTAATCATATTCAAAACTATTTTCGAAGACTTGGAAGTTATTTCTACCCTTATATCACCATCACTTTTCCTGAATACCAATCGGGTGAGTTCAAACGAAGCAAGGCCTATATTGCAATCGAACGATACCTAGCCATCAACTCCTCCGATAGAGCTAAAAAGCTCAAAGCAAATGTGATTAAGGACGGAAAATCTGTTGTCCTGAGCATGGACGACTACGAAGAGGTCACAGATGAGTTCGAAGGCATAAAAATCTGGTGGAGTTCGAGCATAACCATCTCGCAACAACGGTCTCTCTTTACTAACGATGATGGCGAGAAGCGATCCTACAAGCTCACTTGCCATCGTAAACACAAAGAGATCATCACCAAAGTCTACCTGCACCATGTGCTTGATGAAGGAAAGGCCATTGTCATGAAAAGCAGGCAACGAAAGCTCTATACCAATGGGAACATGACCTCGTGGAGTCACATCATATTCGAGCACCCTTCTACGTTTGATACTCTTGCAATGAACCCGGAAAAGAAGAAGGATATTTTGGATGATCTTATGACATTCATCAAGTCCAAAGACTACTACAAGAAGGTGGGAAGGTCATGGAAGCGAGGATATCTTCTTTATGGTCCTCCTGGAACTGGAAAGTCTAGCATGATTGCTGCCATGGCTAACCTTCTTGATTACGATATCTATGATCTTGAATTAACCTCCGTGAGTAATAACACGGATTTGAAGAAGCTACTCATCGGCACAACAAGTAAGTCGATAATTGTGATAGAGGATATCGACTGTTCACTTGATCTCACTGGTCAAAGAAAGAAGAAGAAGGAGAAGGAGAAGAAGGAGAAAGAGAAGGAGAAGAATCCGGTTCAGAAAAAGGAAAAGGATAAGAAGATAAAGGGTAGTGAAGTAACTTTGTCTGGGTTGTTGAACTTCATTGATGGGCTATGGTCGGCTTGTGGTAGTGAAAGACTGATCGTGTTCACTACAAACCACCTTGAAAAGCTTGACCCTGCTCTTATTAGGAGAGGAAGAATGGATAAGCATATCGAGCTCTCCTTCTGTTGTTTCGAAACGTTTAAGGTGTTGGCCAAAAACTATTTGGATCTTGAATCACATGACTTGTTTTCACCCATCAGTCGACTACTGGAGGAGACAAACATGAGTCCAGCTGATGTTGCCGAAAATTTGATGCCCAAATCATCTCAAGAGAATGCCGAGAGTTGTTTAAACCACCTGATCAAAGTTCTGACTAATTCAAAAGAAGAAGCAAGGCTGAAAGCTGTGGAAGATTCTAGGGTTAAAGCTTCCCAATCAGAATCAAGTGTTGTAGAATCAAGCGATGAAGAATCAAGTGACGGAGAGGGTTGATTTCCAAATGGGACAGGGTTTCTCAGTCTATAGCTACTGTAATGTTAGCATATAAAATATTAGTTGTTATTATTATTATTATTATTATTATTATTATTATTATTATTATTATTATTTTATGTTGTATCTTTAATTAACATTTTGGGTAAGTTAACTGTTAACGCTTAGATTGATTGTGTATTTATAATTCTTATTTTCCCTTTTTGTGCAATTTTTCTATAGTAATAAAAGTCTATTTTATTATTATTATTATTATTTTTGCCATTCGTCACCATTTATTTTTATTTTTAAATTTTTTTTTGTTATTTGTCACCATCTATTATTAGTATTACATATCTCATAATTAATAATTAATGTCTTGTTTCTTGTCAACTTATTAATAGTCCATTTTAAATTTAAAATTATAAATTTTTCATTTTAATTATATTAAATTCATTACATTATAATAAAAAATAAAATAAAATAAATACAGATTAAAAGTTGATATAATTTTATGTACTTGTTTGAGTCAGCGATTATAATTTTATATAATTAAAAAAAATATATCTTAATTAATGAGTTATTTAAATAATTAATTAATAACTTTGAATTTTTTTAAAAAAAAATTAATTAACTTCATAACTGTGATTCACAAAGTTCATAAACTAGCTTATAAATTTGGAGTCAGTGTTAAAGTGTAGTATATACTATATACCCACATATTTTTTGAAATATTTCGGTAATTGGATTTTTTTTAAATAGTATTGATAGTACTTTTTAAGGACATTTTAGTTTGCTAGAAAAATTTTCCTCAAAATTTGATGATAGTCATCAAGAAAATTTACCTACACACATATTCTATCAATGTCGGAGTAAATTACCCATAAAGAAAAATTGAGTGCGCATTTGCAGTAAATAGGTAGGTTTTACATAAATACCAACTTTTCAAGAGAATTTTGTTTTTTATTTTATAAATAATTGTCATTATATTCTTATAAAATTTCAAATTAAATATATATTTCAATAAACATATATAACAAAATATTTAATTTAATCATAATCAATCTACTTAAAAATATTATAACCAAATTATTAAAATACATATCTATAATCTTTCTTATAATCCATCTTTTTATTCACGATATGGTTATTTACGATATAATTATTTGTCATTTCATCTTCATTACTGTAACATCCCAAAATTCGTGACCAAAAATTTCATTTTTAAATCATTAATCAAGCCATAATTATAAAATCAATCAACCATAAACATTAGTCATTATATCAAATCAGAGTTTCATTTCAAAACACTTGTTCATCTTATCAGAGTAAACATCCCAGGCTAAAACTCCTTTGGTGTGTGTCATGCGATCAACCCGAGCTCTTCCCTCCGCTACCGGAAGTACCTGAAACCAAAACCGAAAACCGTAAGCACGAAGCTTAATGAGTTCCCCAACCTACCACATACAATATACGTATAACCAGGAACACATAACCACATACTGGGCCCCCGCCCGCTGCGTCGGGCCTCTCCCGTTGCGTCGGGCCTCGCCCGTCATCGGGCCCCGCCTGACATCTGGTCCCACCTGGCATCGAGCCCCGCTCGGTATACAGATTTGTTTCTCTTTGGCCCCGCATGTCTCTGGGCCTCGCCCTCCGTACACATACATACAATCAAAATAACATACTAGAGCATACGAAACATAATCTAACTGTACCCTGTTCTAAGGCCTCGCCTGACTTAGGCCCCGCCCCGGGTTTGTTACTGAAGTAGTGGAACCCCGTCCATACTCCTACAAGTAGTGAGATACCCCCCCCCCCACACACACACACACTCACACCCTTCCTATCACGGGTCTCACCCCTGCTCTGCTCTAATGAGATACGAAACCCCGTCCATACTCTGCTAGTGGTAAGATACGGGACCTCGCCCACACTCACCTCCCTATCAGACACATACAAGTATCACGCAGACAACAAGTATAATCTAACATTCAACCTAAGAATCTTCCTCGGGATTACCCCGACATCGGACCCCCGATCCAGAGACATACTATTATCTAACATACTTCGGGCTTACCCCGACATCAGACTCTCGGTTCGGAACCTACCATATTGACATATGCAAGAATCACAAAGACCTCTAGCATCCTAGCATTCCTCGGGCCTTGCCCGACATCAGGTCGTAACCCGGAACATATATCAATAAGTGCCTAGGGCTAACCCCCGGGTCTTCATTCTACTCATAAACATAATCATAAACATAATGGGCCGGCATTGTGGCCGTAGACCCATGCACACAGTGAGGAGACTCACCTTGCACCGCTGAAGCTCTTGTTGATACCCTCCTGACTGCTATCTACCGATTCCCGAACTGCTGCTCCTTCGGCTCCCCGAGCTACCAAGACCAAAATAACACTCAGCCCAATACAATAATCCTTCTTAGGGTAAAATGACTATTTTACCCCTAATCCAATTTGGTCCATAACTAAGGCCCAAACCATAATATAAAAGGCCAAACACTAGGTAAGCTTCCCAAGCCCACTAGTGACCCACTATTGGCCCAATTTTGCCAAACTGGGCCCAATCCCTCTATGGGCCTTACCCTAAGCCCAATTATATTCCTTGGCCCAAATTATCTAATTTCTGATGGCCCACTAAGGCCCAAATACTCAAACATGCCCCAACCGCAACCCAATAATTCATTACCCAAACAGACAAAGTACGCGGGGCGTACATCTACATACGCTAAGCGTACAGGCAAGATGGTGAGTACGCTGGGCGTACCTGCACGTACGCTCACCGTAATTCCCCTGTTAAGTCCTTTTTCCATTAAGTGCTTATTACTCCACTCCAGAGGCTACAAACTCAGATCCAGGTCCTTATCCATGTCTTATTCCATAAAGTCACTGACTTGGTGACTTTACTTGGCCCAAACAACTCAAACTCCAAAAATAATCTTGTATTTCCATAAAGAGGGCTAGATCTCATGCATGATTATGAATGGACCATCAAGTTCGAAACTTTACTGCTTATGAAACACTTTTAGCCTTGAGGGTGGTAACCCTAAGCTCAAAAATGAGATTTCATCATAAAGGTCCAATCTTGGGACCCAAAATGACTCCAAAACTTCACTACACTAGATCTATGCATCCTTAAGTAAAGTCATGAACTTTATACCTCTAAAGAGTCCCGAATGATGATGCTATTCCAGATCTATGAGCTCCAACTTCGAACAGTTCTTCCTTGCCAACTTCTTCTTTTCCTCTTCCAAGTTTACACCACCAAAATGAGCTTCTTAAGGAGAAAATCACTCAAGAATGAGGGGATGAGACGTTCTAGGGTTTTCTGAGGGTAAGGGAATAGATAAAGAGGCTAGGGCTTGAACCAATATGCTCTTTATATAGTGGCACACCCTAAAATTAGGGTTTCTGGACATTGGACGTACGATGGGCGTACGCCAGAAGGCACCCGTGATCTTTTCCTTTCATACGTTGGGCGTAACCCAGCTTACGTTGGGCGTACCCACGTGCGTTCCAATTTGCATGCATGGTCCTCCATGCCAACTTTTCTCCATAGGGGACCGTTTATGCCAATAACTTACAAGTGCCTTAACTTCCTCACCCGATTTCCGTTTCCGAAGAACTTTATATCTACGAAAAGGTGGCGAGAAGCCCTACTCTCCTAGCGACACACCCCGACCCAAAACCTTCTCGAATAGCAACTCAAAAATCTTAAAAGACTAAAACACCCTTAACATTGGCCTCTGAAATCCATAACGAATACTTTCAGAACAGGGCGTTACAACTCTCCCCCACTTAAACTAGACTTCATCCTCGAAGTCTCTCCTTACTAACACCCATCTCCCCAACAACTGATTTGCGGAACGCAACCGATGATTCTACGTACGAAACAACATTCCCAAGACACTAAAAGCCAACTCGGTCTTCTATTCTGGAGGAGACGAACTTCAAACTTCCGCAAACCCCGAGCTACCTCGCACACAGGAACCATCATGACAGACACTTCTGCCCAAACACAATGCTGCCTTTTGCCTTCTTTCCAAAAGGACGGGGACCTCCCAGGTCTAAACCTTTCTTTTCACCATTCGGAATACCAGATTCCCTCCAGTTACTGAACCCAAGCTCAAACTCTCAATCGCTCCCAGCGACCTCCGAAGAAACTTCTGCTATCTAAAACTGATCTATCTACCTTGCCACTCTGGCTCCCTAAGTCCTGGGATCCTCGATCCCTTAACTTGATCCTACGGTCTCATCCAGGTCCCACCTGCGCTGCTATAATCATACGGGCCTCGCCCACAGGTCTCACCCAACTACATCTCGGAGTGGCCTCTCCCACAGGTCTCACCTATCTTGGGCTATGCAGGCCCTCACTTCCTTCTAAAACTCAACGAACTACTCACTCGATCGATATTTATCATGCTAACTAGGGGATACGGGCCTCTCCCACACCCCGCTAACTAGGAGATACGGGCCCTTGCCCACACTCCTCTAACTAGCTGCTAACGAAATGACACGACTCTCCCACAACCTTACTACTCTTCCCACCCTGCCTAGCTGCTGAAGATTGCTACGGCGACCCCGTAGCCTTACATCCTGACTAAATTCGCATCTTGTTGAGGAAATTTCCCACCTGGTTCCCACCCAGGTATCATCTACCGCGAATACACGAACTCGATGTTGGGAAGTTTCCCAAACTCCCAGCTCGCGCGCTCCTCTATCCCAACAGCCACTGGGGCTGCCTTCCCTTCTAAAAAAGTTGCGAACTCATCCCAAATTGCACTTACTCCTGCTCCTGACCTCTGGGATAGTTCTCCCCCACTTCGATTCGACTAGATCCCTACAACTCCCAGCTTGGGAAGGATTCCCCAATCCTTCCTTCCATCAAAAGGGTTGATCTGCTGACAACCAACGCTTACCCCTGCTAGCGCTCTGACTAACCCATACCAAATATGAACCACTATTGGAGATTGATAGGACACTTCCCGAGTCCCGCTCACA